ACAGTGTACCCTCACTACACACCTTGTACCACACAGTGTACCCTCACCACACACGCTGTACCACACAGTGTATCCACACCACACACCTTGTGCCACATAGTGTACCCTCACCACACACAATGTACCACACAGTGTATCCTCACCACACACCCTGTACCACACAGTGTACCCTCACCACACACACTGTACCAAACAGTGCACCCCACACACCCTGTACCACACAGTGTATCCACACAACACACCTTGTATCACACAGTGTACCCTCACCACACACCCTGTACCACACAGTGTACCCTCACCACAAACACTGTACCACACAGTGTATCCACACCACACACCTTGTACCACACAGTGTATCCACACCACACACCTTGTACCACACAGTGTACCCTCACCACACACCCTGTACCACACAGTCTACCCTCACCGCACACCCTGTACCACACAGTGTACCCTCACTACACACCTTGTACCACACAGTGTACCCTCACCACACACGCTGTACCACACAGTGTATCCACACCACACACCTTGTGCCACATAGTGTACCCTCACCACACACAATGTACCACACAGTGTATCCTCACCACACACCCTGTACCACACAGTGTACCCTCACCACACACACTGTACCACACAGTGCACCCCACACACCCTGTACCACACAGTGTTTACCTGGAGATTACCTGGAGAGAGTTTCGGGGGTCAACGCCCCCGCGGCCCGGTCTGTGACCAGGCCTCCTGGTGGATCAGCGCCTGATCAACCAGGCTATTGCTGCTGGCTGCACGCAAACCAACGTACGAGCCACAGCCCGGCTGATCAGGAACTGACTTTAGGTGCTTGTCCAGTGCCAGCTTGAAGACTGCCAGGGGTCTGTTGGTAATCCCCCTTATGTGTGCTGGGAGGCAGTTGAACAGTCTCGGGCCCCTGACACTTATTGTATGGTCTCTTAATTAACGTGCTAGTGACACCCCTGCTTTTCTTTGGGGGGATGGTGTATCCACACAACACACCTTGTATCACACAGTGTACCCTCACCACACACCCTGTACCACACAGTGTACCCTCACCACAAACACTGTACCACACAGTGTATCCACACCACACACCTTGTACCACACAGTGTATCCACACCACACACCTTGTACCACACAGTGTACCCTCACCACACACCCTGTACCACACAGTGTACCCTCACCACACAGCCTGTACCACACAGTGTATCCACACCACACACCTGTACCACACAGTGTATCCACACCACACACCTGTACCACACAGTGTATCCACACCACACACCCTGTAGCACACAGTGTACCCTCACCACACACCCTATACCACATTGTGTACCTTCACCACACAACCTGTACCACACAGTGTACCCTCACCACACACCCTGTACCACACAGTGTACCCTCACCACACATCCTGTACCACACAGTGTACCCTCACCACACACCCTGTACCACACAGTGCATCCACACCACACACCTTGTACCACACAGTGTACCCTCACCACACACCCTGTACCACACAGTGTACCCTCACCACACACCCTGTACCACACACTGTACCCTCACCACACACCCTGTACCACACAGTGTACCCTCACCACTCACCCTGTACCACACAGTGCACCCCACACACCCTGTACCACACAGTGTATCCACACAACACACCTTGTATCACACAGTGTACCCTCACCACACACCCTGTACCACACAGTGTACCCTCACCACACACCCTGTACCACATTGTGTACCCTCACCACACACCCTGTACCACACAGTGTACCCTCACCACTACCCTGTACCACACAGTGTAACCCTCACCACACACCCTGCACCACACTGTGTACCCTCACCACACACCCTGTGCCACACAGTGTACCCTCACCACACACACTGTACTACTCAGTGTACCCTCACCACACACCTTGTACCTCACAGTGTACCCTCACCACACACCCTGTACCACACAGTGTACCCTCACCACACACCCTGTACCACACAGTGTACCCTCACCACACACCCTGTACCACACAGTGTACCCTCACCACACACCCTGTACCACACAGTATACCCTCACCACATACACTGTACCACACAGTGTACACACACTGTATCACAGTGTATCCACACCACACACACTGTACCATTAAGGAAGGAATAGTCTCTGAAGTGTCCCTGTTTGCAGATGACGTGAAGTTGATGAGAAGAATTCAGTCGGACAAGGACCAGGCAGAACTACAAAGAGATCTGGACAGGCTGCAGGCCTGGTCCAGCAACTAGCTCATGGAGTTCAACCCAGTCATGTGCAAAGTTATGAAGATTTGGGAAGAGTACATTCTAGGGGGCCAGAGACTACAAACCTCACTCAAGGAAAATGATCTTGGGGTGAGTATAACACCAGGCACATCTCCTGAAGCACACATCAACCAAATAACTGCTGCAGCATATGGGCGCCTAGCAAACCTCAGAACAGCATTCCGACATCTTAATAAGGAGTCATTCAGGACCCTGTACTCTGTGTATATTAGGCCTATATTAGAGTATGCAACGCCAGTTTGGAACCCTCACCTAGCCAAGAATGTAAGGAAACTAGAGAAAATGCAAAGGTTTGCAACAAGACTAGTCTCGGAGCTAAGGGGCATGTCCTATGAGGAGAGGTTAAGGTAAATCGACCTGATGACACTGGAGGACAGGAGAGATAGAGGGGACATGATAACTCCATATAAACTACTGATCTCAGTAGTAGTACCAGTTCCTAGTAATCAGTTACCAGTAACCAGTGTACCAGTAGATGACTCACTACCAACCGTCTCTGCATGAATCACTGTCTGTATTCATATTGCTGCTGACCACAGCAGTATTTCAAACACCCCCTCACATATGGGTACTGGGGTTAGTCAGTCTTACGAGTGAGGGCAAGGAGGCAGGTCACAGCTGTTTGGCGCTTCCCACACTATCCGTAATATACATATTACGTACTACCAGCCTACGTGAGTATTTCTTTACCCTATCCACGTGTTCGAACCCCACATGATAAATGGTGGCAGTGGTGTGGGAGCGTGGATTTAAGCTTTCTTAAGGGTATTTCAAGACGTTAGAAGACTGTTTGTGAGTAGCCGGCGGGTCAAAAGGTGAACCGTCTCACCCATCTCCAGCTACTCGCTCCCCTCACAACCTCCACCACTCCAGCCTGCAAGCCTGTTGCAGCCGTTTTTCAGGCTTCCTGGCTTAGTTCGTGTGCTAATTGCTTCAATCTCCGAGGGGTTGACCCGGATTTTGCAATTAAGCCAGTCAGTAAGCCAGACTGTGGAAGTGAACGCCAGTCAGCCTATCATCCAGCCTGTCTCCTGTCATCCACCTGCTCCTTCATGCTGTGTGCATCGTTACCCATCTTCCAGTCAGCCATTCTCGTGGGTTAAGCCAGTCAGTCAACCCAGCTTCTAACCCAGCTGAGAGAGAGAAGTAAGCCACGCAAGTTCCTCTGAAGTATTGTCTCATGTATCGCTTTGTGCTCCCTGTTGGATGCTAAGAGTGATTTTCACCATTCCTGTGGTATAGAGTGGCTTACAAGCCACCTTCGTGAGTGAGTGGAGTGCGTGGCAGTGAGAGAGCACAGGGCCAGCTTGTTCTGTTGCCCCCACCACCACCCGCCACCACGACCACCAGCCACCCACCTCATCTACCTGTGGCTGTTTGCACCCTTGTACCGGGTCCTAATACTGTTTTGGCTCACATAATTGGTCAAGAGATTGTAGCTGAGCGCCAACGATAAAGCCAGTTATGTGAGTTCACCGAGAAAGCACAGTTCTTCACGACGACAGTGTGAGTGTAGGAAGTGTCGGAGGTGTCAGTCATCACCGCGCAGGACTTCCCCTTCACTCGCCACTCCGTCTACTACTACAGACTCCAGTGATAATTTTCTGTTTAGAGACATTTTTCTTGTATTTAAAGACATTTGCGTGTGTGAGACATTTACAGTGAATTTCTTGTGTACTCTAAGCCTTGTATTTTCAGTGTAGACTCAGTGTTTCTTTGACTCATTTTTTTTGCAATATTTTTCAGTGTTATTTGCTCATCTCATATTTTTTTTATCTGTGTTTTTTTTATGCTACTCTCTGTCTGTAGTAAGTATTATTGTGTAGTGTACCAGTCAGTCACTCCGTGTGAAGTGATTCATTCATTTTTTTTTGTATTCTTTCAGCATTATTCTCCAGTATTTGTCATTGTAGTTCATGCAGTGATATTCACCCCAGTATACCAAATTATCCATTTATTTCTATGTGACCACAGCAGTATTTCAAACACCCCCTCACATATGGGTACTGGGGTTAGTCAGTCTTACGAGTGAGAGCAAGGAAGCAGGTCACGGCTTTTTGGCGCTTCCCACACTATCCGTAATATTCGTACTACCAGCCTACGTGAGTATTTCTTTACCCTATCCACGTGTTCGAACCCCACATGATACTGAGAGGAATTGACAAGGTGGACAAAAACAGGATGTTCCAGAGATGGGACACAGCAACAAGGGGACACAGTTGGAAGTTGAAGACTCAGATGAATCACAGGGATGTTAGGAAGTATTTCTTCAGTTACAGAGTTGTCAGAAGTGGAATAGTTTGGGAAGCGATGTAGTGGAGGCAGGATCCATACATAGCTTTAAGCAGTGTATGGCCAGTGAAGAGGCGGGGCCAGGAGCTATGAATCGACCCCTGCAACCACAACTAGGTGAGTACAACTAGGCAAGTACAGTGTACACACACACTGTACCACAGTGTGCACACACACTGTACTACACAGTGTATACACACCATACCACACAGTGTGCACACACTGTACTACACAGAGTATACACACCATGCCACAGAGTGTGCACAGACTGCGCCACACAGTGTACACACACACACACACACACTGCACCACACAGTGTACACACACTGTGAAACACAGTGTACACACACACACATCCACAATATACACACTCTACTCACCTTGTACACATGATGGCCCTTACTAACACTAAGACATTTCCTCAGTTCACTGTTGTACTCAGCTCCCTTACACGACCCCGGGCGAGCTGTGAGTCCAGAGCTTCCCATGACACAGTCGATGTATCCCCCAGGGTAGCTGGGGTCCGGGAACCTGCCTGCTCTCTCGCACTCCAAGCTGCGTAACGCAAACCAAACTTATTATAGTCATATAGCATAATCTGATAGAATATACAGATCTCTTGTAATCATTGTAACTCACATAATATAATGATCTTATGTATAATTACTACACTGTTATTCCCTTCTTAATCTTACGATAGTCGTCGTAAGTTTGCCAGAAATGCTCTGCTTATTATGGGACTTGTGGCATGTTTATCCAATTGTTATACTCCTTTGTACATGTATCATGCTAAAATATAATTATTATTATTATTATTATTATTATTATTATTATTATGCTATAATAATCTCAGTATTAGTAGTAGTAGTAGTAGTAGCAGTAGAAGTAGGAGTAACAGAAGCAGTAGTAGTAGTAGTAATAGTGGTAGTAGTATACCTGGAGAGAGTCCCAGGGGTCAACGCCCCCACAGCCCGGTCTGTGGCCAGGCCTCATGGTGGATCAGGGCCTGATCTGTCATGTGGGGGTTCGAAACGTGGATTGGGTAAGAACACTCACATAGACTGTTAAGTACTTATATTGGAGGGAAAATATGGGGAGCACCACGCCTGGCCTGCCTCTCTGCTAACTCTCTCTTAAGACTGACTCACAAGATGGTTCCTAGGGGTGAGCGGCATTCAAAAACATGCTGTGGTCAGCTGTAACAGTGAATAACAGTCAGTGATTCATGCAGGAGCAGAGGATCAGTAACGGTCGGTGTATGAGTCATTACTACTGACACTACAGGTAACTGGTTACTGGTAAATGGTACTACTGAGAGCTCGGCGATGCTAACGTATGTCGTCCCTACATACAGCTAATACAAACTAGAGATGGCAGGCGTACGGCTTAGGCTGGTTCTATACAATGTCAAAGTACAGAACAATTGAACATTAGAACATACATAAGGAGAATATTGGAATGAAAGCAAATGTAACTTACTGTAATCCATTACAAGGTATGATAAAGCACAATTCATAGAATGAGCTCAACATTGGGATTACACAATAGAAGTGATAAAAAAAAAATTGATCGATCAATCTGTATTCATGTGATCTACGGATTCTGAGGAAGAAATATATACAAAGAAAGAAGTGTTTAACAGAAAAGGCAGACTTGGTGCACTCAAATCTAGACTGTTAAATCTCAGAATTTGGAGAGAACGTGAATAAAAAAAAAATTATTGAATATTAGTAAGTTGATACTGTAATTATTCATCTATACAGGTTATTTACATTTAACCCCAACTCTGCTAGGGCGAGATTGACATATGCAGAATGGGTGTCATCTCTGCACTGGCTAACTCATGCCATGTTTGAGGCAAACCTGAATTAGTAGTTACAAATGATACTTGAAGATTTCTCAATACCTGTCATGTACGTAGGGAATAATGACATTCAGGTTGATTGTCTGACTGAGTATTAGAGGTAGAGAGTAGAGGATCAAGAGGATTGTCAGAGTCTGTCACATTAGTCTGAGATGGAACATCATTATCATCACATACTAACTTCATGTGATCCAAATGCGATTCTTTATACTGACCAGTACTAATTTCTCTAACTTTATACTTATTGCCATTAATATGTTCAACTACTCGATAAGGACCAACAAACTTTTGATCAAGCTTAGGCACTGCAGACGTTTTGTTAAAATTAGTCAGCATAGCTCTCGAACCTACTTTGATTTTGGACGGCTTTGCTCGAGTGTTTGCGACTCTTGTGAATTCTGCTGTTGATTTATGAAGTGTTTCACGGATTCTTCTAAAAACACTTTGAGCTAAGCTGGTACGAGTTGCTATGAAATCATCAGGGTTGTAGTTTGGTTTTGGGTTAGAATATAACAGCTCATAAGGCAAATGTTTATCTACACCGTACAATGCATAATGTGGAGTGTCACCTATAGAAACATTGTAAGCAGAATTTATAGCACACTGCACATCAGGTATAACTTCATCCCAGGTTTCACTGTTGGGATTGATAGTGGCTCTCAAGACATCAAGTACTTTCTTACTGGTTCGTTCTGCTAACCCATTGCTGGCAGGATGATGAGGAACAATGGTGGATTTAGAGATCTTGTACAAGGTACACAAATTTTCAAGAATCTCATTACAGAATTCACCTCCATTATCTGTTACTAGGGATTTAGGTGTGGTATGCCTGCAGATAATGTGTTCTTTAAACGCTTTAGCTACTGTCTCTGCAGTCTTTTCTGCAATAGGAACTAATTCACAATATCTGGTGAAATGGTCTACCATAACACACAGATGTTTGTTGCCCTGGAGGGAACATTGGAAATTAGTTAACAAATCAAGTGCAACTCTTTCCCATGGCTCACTATTAGTTGGATACACCTGGATTGGATTAGGACCATTAACATTACCTTTATGTTGCATGCAGACACTACATTTCTTAACATACTCAGAAATATCAGTTGCCATACGAGGCCAAAAGTATTTCACTCTGGCTTACTTTACAGAACGATCCATACCAGGGTGTGCAACACCTGGTACATCATGAACTAGCTGTAGAGCTACATTCATTAGTGACTGTGGAATTACTAACTGGTATACTCTTCTGCTAGGAGTACCCAACTCGGCTGTTCGATACAGTAATTCTTGGTTCATGACAAAGTCACTGATGGTTGCTTGTGGTTTCACAGTCAAAATAAGATCTTCCTGGAGCAGGAATCGAATCACACCAGACCACATGGGATCTGTTTGTTGAGCATTCTTTATGTCCTCGGCACTAAATGGAGGGTCTGCAGTTACTATACTAACATGTTGCGATAAAGCACCTGCGACTTCATTTGACTTGCCAGGTAAGTGTTCAAAGGTAGGACTGAACTCTTGATGCCTCTTAATGCCTCAAATGATGTAGTGGAAGTTTTAGCAGTAAAGGTCGAGAACCAAAACCTAGTCATTGTGGTAGTCTACAGGCCTCCGGATGCAACATCCCAGCAATTCCAGGAACAGCTGTTAAAAATTGACCACTGTCTGGAAAATCTTCCAGCTCCTGCACCCAACATCTTGCTCCTAGGGGATTTCAACTTAAGGCACCTAAAATGGAGGAATATAGCAAATAATATTGTTGCAGTAATAACACCAGGAGGCAGCTCTGATGAAAACTCACACTCACACAAGCTTTTAAATCTCTGCACAAAATTCAATTTAAACCAGCAAATAATAGAGCCTACTAGACTGGAGAATACACTAGACCTCATCTTCACTAACAATGATGATCTGATAAGAAATGTCACCATATCAAAAACAATATACTCAGATCACAACCCTAATTGAGGTTCAGACATGTATGTGTGGAGCCCCAGACCGACAAAAATGAGACTAGTCACGAGGGAGCATTCACCAAATTCAACTTCAATAACAAAAACATAAAGTGGGACCAAGTAAACCAAGTCCTAATCGATATAAGCTGGAAGATATACTAAGCAACACAGACCCCAACTTATGCCTAGAACAGATTAACTCGGTGGCACTCGATGTATGCACAAGGCTTATTCCTCTAAGAAAAAGGAGGAGTAGATGTAAAATAGAAAGAGACAGGCGCTCCCTTTACAGGCGACAGAAAAGAATAACAGAGCGGCTAAAAGAGGTCAATATATCTGAAATGCGTAGGGAGACACTGGTCAGAGAAATAGCAAGCATCGAACTTAAGCTAAAGGAATCTTATAGGAGTCAGGAATCGCGGGAAGAACTAAAAGCCATAAATGTTATCGAAAGAAACCCAAAGTATTTCTTCTCCTATGCCAAATCAAAGTCGAGAACAACGTCCAGTATTGGGCCCCTACTTAAATAAGATGGGTCCTACACAGATGACAGCAAGGAAATGAGTGAGCTACTCAAGTCCCAATATGACTCAGTTTTTAGCAAGCCGCTAACTAGACTTAGAGTCGAAGATCAAAATGAATTTTTTATGAGAGAGCCACAAAATTTGATTAACACAAGCACCGCGGCAGCTACGGTGAAAAGCTCTGTTCCACAAGGCACAGTACTCGCTCCCATCTTGTTCCTTATCGTCATATCCGACATAGACAAGGATGTCAGCTACAGCACCGTGTCTTCCTTTGCAGATGACACCCGAATCTGCATGACAGTGTCTTCCATTGCAGACACTGCAAGGCTCCAGGCGGACATCAACCAAATCTTTCAGTGGGCTGCAGAAAACAATATGAATTTCAACGATGAGAAATTTCAATTACTCAGATATGGTAAACACGAGGAAATTAAATCTTCATCAGAGTACAAAACAAATTCTGGCCACAAAATAGAGCGAAACACCAACGTCAAAGACCTGGGAGTGATCATGTCGGAGGATCTCACCTTCAAGGACCATAACATTGTATCAATCGCATCTGCTAGAAAAATGACAGGATGGATAATGAGAACCTTCAAAACTAGGGAGGCCAAGCCCATGATGACACTCTTCAGGTCACTTGTTCTATCTAGGCTGGAATATTGCTGCACACTAACAGCACCTTTCAAGGCAGGTGAAATTGCTGACCTAGAAAATGTACAGAGAACCTCCAGTCTTTTCAAGTGTGTATCCACGTCTTCAGACATGACGATTACGTCATCTAAGTACACCATAAATGCATTACCTATGAGACCTCTAAAGATATTAGTCATGAGCCTTGAGAATGTGAGAGGGGAGAATCGTAATCCAAAGGCCATATGGAGGAAGTGATAATGACCTGTAGGAGTGGAGAATGCAGTTAGCTCTTGGCTCTCCTCGTGAAGAGGGATTTGCCAAAACCCTTGTAACAAGTCCAAGGTCAAAAAGACTTTTTCTCCGATGTTACATAAAAGATCACCAAGTACAGGAAGTGGGAAACAATCTTGAATAGTTTTCGCATTTAGCTTCCTAAAGTCAATCACTGGGCACCAAGTACCATCCTCCTTAGGTACTAAGATCAAGGGCACATTCCAGGGTGAATTGCTAGGTGCAATAACTCCATCATCAAGCATTTGACTGATCAATTCTTCTGCAACAGCAACTTGTGAATGAGGCATTCTGTACGCAGGTATATAGACAGGTCTAGTACCAGGTTCAAGTGGGATATGATGGGACAATAAGTTTGTTATACCCATCTTCTCACCTGGTAAAACAATGGCTTTATGACGTTTGTTCAGTAGAGTCAACAAACGCTTGACCTCGTCTGGGAAGTCAGTGGGAGCTAAGTCTTTCTCCTCTACTGGTGGAATGGATTGATCCAGTGAAGTGGATTAGGTCTCCCCGGTAGAAATAGCACCAACCCACTGGTCAGGTGACAGCTCACCCTCTACCTGAACAGGGTAAGGATAATGAACAAGGTCAACAAGATTGGTATTTGCTCTGAGACGAACACTGTGGCCAGAAGTGTTTGCAAGGAAGAAATGGATCTTACTATCTCTTACAACATGTAAGGATGGCTCAACAAATAAACCCTTTACTTTGCAGGAATCACTGTCAACTAGGACATTATCACCATCTGGAACACTCACAGACAGGAGTGACAGGATCACCAGTGCCTGACCGCTTGGGTATGCTACTGGAAAATGTACTGGCTAGTAAGGACTTAATCCGAACGTCGTACTCTGCGGCAGTATGGCAGATCTCGGATCCAAGCTGGTAACCCCAAAATGGTACGATCAAGTCATCAGTTTGGGCATGCCATCGATAAGGGTCGAGCACAATGTGTAAGTCTCGCATGGAAGCAAATCCCAATAAAAGTTCACTTGGGAAAGTAATCTGGTCGACAACAAGGAAGGAAGCAGTAAAGTCTCTACCTTGGATAGAAAAGATGAGGGAAGTCCGACCTCGGACAAGCAGGTGAGAACCAGCTGCTCCACTAAGGGAGGACACATGAGTCGGTTCTACGAGAAGGACATGTCGTAACTGCTTATCCCTAAACAAACTAGACCTGATAATATTGACTTGCGCACCAGAGTCCATGAACAAATGAACGGGCGCATTTTGAACAGATGCTTGCACTATAGGGCCTATTGTTGCATTGGAAGTTATGTGCAAACAAAAAGGAGGGTTGTCATCAGAAATGACTTGTTCCACTTCATCCCCAAAATCATCTACGTCTGGATGTGTGAAGCAACATCATCAACGGGATTGTCATTCTCGAGACTGCTTAAGGCTTCAAACGAATTGTGAACAGGTAATGGTCGGTGTATGAGCCATTACTACTGACACTACTGGTAATTGGTTACTGGTAACTGGTATTACTGAGAGATCAACCAGGCTGTTACTGCTGGTCAGGTACTGACTTTAGGTGCCTGTACAGTGCCTGTTTGAAGACAGCCAGGAGTGTATTGGTAATCCCCCTTATGTATTCTGGGAGGCAACTGAACAGTCTTGAGCCCCTGACACTTATTGTGTTGTCTCTTATCGTGCTAGTGGCACCCCTGCTTTTCATTGGGGTGACGTTGCATCGTCTGCCGAGTCTTTTGCTTTCATAGGGAGTGATTTTCGTGTGCAAGTTTGGTACTAACCCTCTCTAGGATTTTCGAAGTGTATACAATCATATACCTCTCTCGCATTCTAGGGAGTACAGATTGAGGAACTTAAGCGTTTCCAGTAATTGAAGCGTTTTATCTCAGATATGCGCACCGTGAAGGTTCTCTGTACATTTTCTAAGTCAGCAATTTCACCTGCCTTGAAAGGTGCTGTTAGTGTGCAGCAATATTCCAGCCTAGATAGAACATGCGACCTGAAGAGTGTCATCATGGGCTTGGCATCCCTAGTTTTGAAGGTTCTCATTATCCATCCTGTCATTTTTCTAGCAGATGCGATTGATACAATGTTATGGTCCTTGAAGGTGAGATCCTCTGACATGATCACTCCCAGGTCCTTGACATTAGTTTCTCATTCTAGTAGTAGTAGTAATAGTGGTAGCAGTAGTAGTAATAGTGGTAGTAATAGTAGTAGTACTAGTATTAGTAGTAATATTAATAGTAGTGTGCTAGGTACTTGTTGTTAAGGAAACTTGTCGATAAATACTAAGCTTGTTGTATGTGTGTGTGTCTAACAAGGGGACCAGAGCTAGGGTTCAACACACTGGTCCTGGTCTACTCTATTTGGTCACCTCCTTAAGGCAGCAACATTCCTGACCACAACTGACGTCAATGCATCAATCATTCCGGCCAGTGATGTTCATAACCTCTCATTCAAGCATTGATGTCTCTTAGCCACTAGTGACGTAAATGAATTGATGTCCTGTGTACATATTAAGACACTATGACAGTGTCAGCAGAAGCAGACACCATGACAGTGTCAGTAGACACTATGACAGTGTCAGCAGACACTATGGCAGTGTCAGCAGAAGCAGACACCATGACAGTATCAGCAGACACTATGACATTATCAGCAGACACTATGACAGTGTCAACAGATGCTGGCACCATGACAGTGTCAGCAGATACAGATACTATGACAGTGTCAGCAGACACAGACACCATGACAGTGTCAGCAGACTAAGACACCATAACAGTGTCAGCAGATACAAACACTGACAGTGTCAGCAGACACAGACACGATGACAGTGTCAGCAGACACAAACACCATGACGGTGTCAGCAGACACAGACACCATGACAGTGTCAGCAGACTAAGACACCATGACAGTGTCAGCACACACAGACACCATGACAGTGTCAGCAGGCACAGACATTATAACAGTGTCAGCAGACACAAACACCATGACAGTGTCAGAAGACTAAGATACCATAACAATGTCAGCAGATACAAACACTGACAGTGTCAGCAGACACAGACACCATGACAGTGTCAGCAGACACAGACACCATGACAGTGTCAGCAGACTAAGACACCATGACAGTGTCAGCAGACTAAGACACCATGACAGTGTCAGCAGATACAAGCACTAACAGTGTCAGCAGACACAGACACCATGACAGTGTAAGCAGACACAGACACCATGACAGTGTCAGCAGAGACAGATGCTATGACAGGGTCAGCAGACACAGACACCATGATAGTGTCAGCACACACAGATACCATGACAGTGTCAGCAGACACAGACACCATGACAGTGTAAGCAGACACAGACACCATGACAGTGTCAGCAGAGACAGACACTATGACAGGGTCAGCAGACACAGACACCATGATAGTGTCAGCATACATAGATACCATGACAGTGTCAGCAGACACAGACACCATGACAGTGTAAGCAGACACAGGCACCATGACAGTGTCAGCAGAGACAGACACTATGACAGGGTCAGCAGACACAGACACCATGACAGTGTCAGCATACACAGATACCATGACAGTGTCAGCAGACACAGACACCATGACAGTGTCAGCATACACAGACACCATGACAGTGTCAGCAGACACAGACACCATGACAGTGTCAGCAGACACAGACACCATGACAGTGTCAGCATACACAGACACCATGACAGTGTCAGCAGACACAGACACCATGACAGTGTCAGCATACACAGACACCATGACAGTGTCAGCAGAAACAGACACCATGACAGTGTCAGCAGACACAGACACCATGACAGTGTCAGCATACACAGACACCAAGACAGTGTCAGCAGACACAGACACCATGACAGTGTCAGCAGACACAGACACTATGACAGAAGACTTACTTGTTCTTTTCTTGTAGCCAGAAACACTCCACGTTTACCTGTAAATCATTGTAAATCTCTGTAAATCATTGTAAATATCTGTAAATCATTGTAAATATCTGTAAATCATTGTAAATATCTGTAAATCATTGTAAATCTCTGTAAATAATTGTAAAGCTCTGTAAATAATTGTGAAGCTCTGTATCATTGTAAACTCCAGGTAAATAGCTCTGTAAATCCTTGTAAATTACTGTAAATCAAAACAAACAATTGTATGTCACTTTAAATCATTGTAAATCATTGTAAATCATTGTACATTACGGAAAATATCGTGATAAGCTCAATAAATTATTGTAAATCACTGTATATAAATCACAGTAAAGCTTTGTAAATCACTAAAAATTTTTATAAGGTTCTGTAAATCACTGTAAATTTTGCAAACCTCTGTAAATTATTGTAAAACATTCTAAATCATAGTAAAGCTCTGTAAATCACTGTAAATATTGTAAGGCTCTAAACCTCATTGTAAGTCATTGTAAATCGATTAATATAATTGTAAATCGCTTTAATTTATTTTAAATAATGTAAATCACAAAATAATGTAAATCACAAAATAATGTAAATCACAAAATAATGTAAATCACAAAATAATGTAAATCACAAAATAATGTAAATCACAAAATAATGTAAATCACAAAATAATGTAAATCACAAAATAATGTAAATCACAAAATAATGTAAATCACAAAAAGAGTCGCAGATTATTGTAATCTTTGTAAATCATCGTAAATCACAGTAAGTTATTGCAAACTATTGTAAATAACCGTAAATAATAGTAAATTACTATAAATTTTTATGATAAATGACTGTAAACTACCGTGAAACATTGAAAATTACTGTAAATCACTGTAAATTACTGTAAATCACTGTAAATTACTGTAAATCACTGTAAATTACTGTAAATCACTGTAAATTACTGTAAATCACTGTAAATTACATTCAATCACTGTAAAACTATTAAAATTACTGTAAATCACTGTAAATTACATTCAATCACTGTAAAACTATTAAAATTACTAAATAGCTGTAAATCGCTGAAAATTACTGTAAATCATTGTAAAATGCTCTAAATAAAAGTAAGCTTTAGTAAATTACTGCAAATCACTGTAAATTACAGTAAATTTCTGTAAACTGATGTAAATCACTGAAAATATTGTAAATCACTGTTAATTATTGTACGTCAGCATAAATTATTCTAAACTACTGTGAATCACTGTAAACTACTGTGAATCACTGTAAACTACTGTGAATCACTGTAAACTACTGTGAATCACTGTAAACTACTGTGAATCACTGTAAACTACTGTGAATCACTGTAAACTACTGTGAATCACTGTAAACTGCTGTGAATCACTGTAAACTACTGTGAATCACTGTAAACTACTGTGAATCACTGTAAACTACTGTGAATCACTGTAAACTACTGTGAATCACTGTAAACTACTGTGAATCACTGTAAACTGCTGTGAATCACTGTAAACTACTGTAAATCACTGCAAACTACTGTGAATCACTGTAAACTACTGTGAATCACTGTAAACTGCTGTGAATCACTGTAAACTACTGTGAATCACTGTAAACTACTGTGAATCACTGTAAAACTGCTGTGAATCACTGTAAACTACTGTGAATCACTGTAAACTACTGTGAATCACTGTAAACTACTGTGAATCACTGTAAACTGCTGTGAATCACTGTAAACTACTGTGAATCACTGTAAACTACTGTGAATCACTGTAAACTACTGTGAATCACTGTAAACTGCTGTGAATCACTGTAAACTACTGTGAATCACTGTAAACTACTGTGAATCACTGTAAACTACTGTGAATCACTGTAAACTACTGTGAATCACTGTAAACTGCTGTGAATCACTGTAAACTACTGTGAATCACTGTAAACTACTGTGAATCACTGTAAACTACTGTGAATCACTGTAAACTGCTGTGAATCACTGTAAACTACTGTGAATCACTGTAAACTACTGTGAATCACTGTAAACTACTGTGAATCACTGTAAACTGCTGTGAATCACTGTAAACTACTAGTGAATCACTGTAAACTGCTGTGAATCACTGTAAACTGCTGTGAATCACTGTAACTACTGTGAATCACTGTAAACTACTGTGAATCACTGTAAACTACTGTGAATCACTGTAAACTACTGTAAATCACTGTAAACTACTGTGAATCACTGTAAACTACTGTGAATCACTGTAAACTACTGTCAATCACTGTACACTGCTGTGAATCACTGTAAACTACTGTGAATCACTGTAAACTGCTGTGAATCACTGTAAACTACTGTGAATCACTGTAAACTACTGTGAATCACTGTAAAACTACTGTGAATCACTGTAAACTACTGTGAATCACTGTAAACTACTGTGAATCACTGTAAACTACTGTGAATCACTGTAAACTACTGTGAATCACTGTAAACTACTGTGAATCACTGTAAACTACTGTGAATCACTGTAAACTGCTGTGAATCACTGTAAACTACTGTGAATCACTGTAAACTACTGTGAATCACTGTAAACTACTGTGAATCACTGTAAACTGCTGTGAATCACTGTAAACTACTGTGAATCACTGTAAACTACTGTGAATCACTGTAAACTACTGTGAATCACTGTAAACTGCTGTGAATCACTGTAAACTACTGTGAATCACTGTAAACTGCTGTGAATCACTGTAAACTGCTGTGAATCACTGTAAACTTACTGTGAATCACTGTAAACTACTGTGAATCACTGTAAAACTACTGTGAATCACTGTAAACTACTGTAAATCACTGTAAACTACTGTGAATCACTGTAAAACTACTGTGAATCACTGTAAACTACTGTCAATCACTGTACACTGCTGTGAATCACTGTAAACTACTGTGAATCACTGTAACTGCTGTGAATCACTGTAAACTACTGTGAATCACTGTAAACTACTGTGAATCACTGTAAACTACTGTGAATCACTGTAAAACTACTGTGAATCACTGTAAACTACTGTGAATCACTGTAAACTACTGTGAATCACTGTAAACTACTGTGAATCACTGTAAACTACTGTCAATCACTGTAAACTACTGTGAATCACTGTAAACTACTGTGAATCACTGTAAACTACTGTGAATCACTGTAAACTACTGTGAATCACTGTAAACTACTGTGAATCACTGTAAACTACTGTGAATCACTGTAAACTGCTGTGAATCACTGTAAACTACGTGAATCACTGTAACTACTGTCAATCACTGTAAACTACTGTGAATCACTGTAAACTACTGGAATCACTGTAAACTACTGTGAATCACTGTAAACTACTGTGAATCACTGTAAACTACTGTGAATCACTGTAAACTGCTGTGAATCACTGTAAACTACTGTGAATCACTGTAAACTACTGTGAATCACTGTAAACTACTGTAAGTCGCTTTAACTCACTGTACATCACTGTACATTATTGGAAATCACTGTAAATGCTGTAAATCTGTGTACATCACTGTAAATTACTGTAACCTACTGTAAATCATTGTAAATCATTGAATATTATTGTAAATCACTGTAAATCAGTGAAAAACTAAGCTCTACAAGTATTAATTAAGAACTAAATTATTGATAAGATTTTATTAGTATTGATAAAGTTCTTCTTAGAGCCAACCACGCACGCACGCACGCACGCACGCACGCACGCACGCACGCACGCACGCACGCACAGACACACGCACTCACGCACACACACACGCACGCACGCACGCACGCACGCACGCACGCACGCACGCACGCACGCACAGACACACGCACTCACGCACACACACACGCACGCACGCACGCACGCACGCACACACGCACGCACGCACGCACGCACACACGCACGCACGCACGCACGCACGCACGCACTCACGCACGCACGCACGCACACACGCACGCACGCACGCACACACGCACGCACGCACAGACACACGCACTCACGCACACACACACGCACTCACGCACACACACACGCACTCACACACACACACGCACTCACGCACACACACACGCACTCACGCACACACACACGCACTCACACACACACACGCACTCACGCACACACACACGCACTCACGCACACACACGCACTCACGCACACACACACGCACTCACGCACACACACACGCACTCACGCACACACACACGCACTCACGCACACACACACGCACACACACACACACACACATGCACACACACACACAGACACACACACACGCACTCACGCACACACATACGCACTCACGCACACACACACGCACTCACGCACACACACACGCACACACACACACACACACACATGCACACACACACACAGACACACACACACGCACACCACACGCACACACACGCACTCACGCACACACACACACGCACACACACACACACACACACGCACACACACGCACTACACACACGCACACACACACACACACACACACACGCACACACACACGCACACACACACACACACACACAGGACTTCAAAGAGACCTGGACAGACTGGACACCTGGTCCAGCAAATGGCTTCTCGAATTTAATCCTGCCAAATGCAAAGTCATGAAGATAGGGGAACTGCACAGAAGACCACAGACAGAGTATAGGCTTGGTGGCCAAAGACTGCAAACCTCACTCAAGGAGAAAGATCTTGGGGTGAGTATAACACCGAGCATGTCTCCGGAAGCACACATCAATCAGATAACTGCTGCAGCATATGGGCGCCTGGCAAACCTGAGAACAGCATTCCGATACCTTAGTAAGGAATCATTCAAGGCACTGTACACCGTGTATGTCAGGCCCATACTGGAGTATGCAGCACCTGTTTGGAACCCGCACTTGATAAAGCACGTCAAGAAACTAGAGAAAGTACAAAGGTTTGCAACAAGGTTAGTTCCAGAGCTAAGGGGAATGTCCTATGAAGAAAGATTAAGGGAAATCGGCCTGACGACACTGGAGGACAGGAGGGTCAGGGAGACATGATAACGAC